AGTTTTGTTTCTTGTTTTCCCGTATCGCTGACTTCTCTAAGTGCCGAGCGATGACGTCTCAAAAAATCTTCTATTTCTTGAGTCGTAAAGGTTGATGAAGGATTATTAGAAGGTCGGAAATGAATCGGTGAATTTAGATCTGGAGAATTTGGATATGGGGGCGTTTGTTTCAGACGATGAGGGATACTTGATGTAGTTCTAAAATCTGATGGTTCGTTAATTTTTAAACCTGAAATATCAGAATTAGGAACTATAGGTCGATTATTATGGTTAAATTCTTCCTCTGGATCATCAAGATCGTCAAGATCATCTGGCAGCTCTTCATCGAGGCCGTCTGGCAACTCTTCATCAAGTATGTCTTTTTGCTCTTCATCACTTGGAAAGTCCTCTTCAAAGAAATCAGAGTCTTCATCATCAAACACCGGATCCTCTTCTTCTTCTTCATAGTAGTCTCCGTACGTCTCTTCGTAACATTCGTAATCACCTTCTACGGCCATTTTTTCCCGTGCTTTATTATAATATTCTTGTCGTTGTTCATCTGTTAGTCCATTAAGTTCATTTGCTGCTAATTCAAGACCAGCTGCAACACGTTCAGCACGATCTCGCTCCGATTTAAGTTCTTTAACTCTAATTTCCAATTAAAAACTCGATATTTTTAAAAAAAAATATCAAATGTAATCGTCGGTAATAAAGATAAAAGTCGAACATACCTATCTGCGTATCTTAATGTATTAAGAGTGTGCTCACTATTTGAAATATTTGGAGATATTGTCGCAATCATACAAGTTCGTGAATTTCCAACGAACGAGTCCTTCAACACCTATATAGGTAATAATTTATAAACTAGTCTATCTGCTTTAAATTATAATTATTATGCGTTACAACGAACCTGCGTTAATTTGCTCTGACGAAATGGAGTGTGTCTTTTATCTTGATCAAGGGCACGAATACACTCCTTCAAAGCTAACAAACTCTTATTGATTTCTGCACCTTCCATTCTATAATATATATTTTAAATATAATATATAGATGTATTATGGTTAAAATTACAATAAAATACCTTGTTTGTTTATCTGCATCCCCTCTGTCAGCACCACGTTCACTACCAGCCAAATCAATAAAACTAAGTTTGCCTTTTAAAAAAGAAATTTTTATGAACTATAATACATATAATGTGGAAAAAAAAATTATATTAAAAATATAAATGTTAATACCATGAAACTTTTTCCTATTTTTTTTATGTTTTAATACTATTTGTAGAATAGCGTGAGATCTAGAAGAATCTTCATTTGCACCAGTGCTACCTAATGATTAATCGAATATATTAACTGAAAAGTTAAAATGTTCTATTATTTTTTATTTACTTCATTTTACCTGTGCTTCGTACTGTATTTCCATAATCAAACACTGCCATAAGATTATCTACATTATCAATGGAATATTCTTGAAGTCCTGCAATTACGACATTTTTCTTTCCATCTTCCCGAGCAAATAATTTCTTTCTTTGATTCAATAGATCATATAGTTGTCCTTGATAAATTTCGTAGAACCCTATATATGACGCTAGATGGTTATATTCTGGTTGTTGTAATAAGGCAAAAATATCTCGTGCAGCCAGAACGTAAAGTCCTAATAATTACAAATTAATATATATATATATATACGATGTCAAAAATATTGTAAATCTTGTAAATCCATAATAAACTCAAAAATTACCTTGTTTATCGTCAAGCATAGTATAAGTTTTGCCACTCCCTATTAAAAAATTGAGAAGTTGAATTACATAAATACATTAACATAAACTTTAATCAAATTTGTGATATATTCATACCTGTTTGTCCACTATTTCAGGAAAAAAAAGACAAATGTCAAGGGGATTTTGGTGAAGGATATTATAATGAAAAATAATAATATTTTACAAATCACATTGCTAGCCCCTTCCAATATAGTTTCAAAGGATACTATGCAAAGCACGTGGCCTTGCCACCACGAAAAATGTACTCTACTAATGGTAAAGCGGTCCGTTTATATACCTAAAATGTCAATTAAGATGATAAATTAAGTAGCTCAGTTAAATTTTAACAATTATTTAAGCATTAAAATTAAAATACCTCTTCATTAGTGGCTTCAGCGTCAAACACGTCATCAAAAAAGAACGTGTGTTGTTCTACATACTTGGTCAGATCGACTTTCATTCTAATTGGATGGAATTAAGCAAATTACGTGAATCATTCCCGGTAGGCTAGTGATAATAACGAGTCGAAAGACTTTGAGTGACAAATTATAACGAAACATATGAGGCAATAAAGCTCACTTTGGCTCGTTTATAAGAACAGTCCTTTGGCCATTGACGGTAGCAATGTCTTTCTCGTTCCTTGTGAGCTCTTTCTTGCTGAGTGGACGTTTACGTACACATACTCTTATCTTATCATTTAGATTACTAGGAACGTTATGTTTTGCGGGTAATGAATAAGAATTAGTCCTTGATGGATGTCTTGATGGAACACCGTACGCGTTTAAGGTTGGACGTCGATTTGGTGATGAATTCGGTTGAAGCTCTTCCTCTTCTTCTTCTTCAGGCGAATGCTGCACTATCTGTTGCTGTGTCGGTTTAGCAACGTTAAACGGTGATGGTATTCGTGAACGTGCTTGACTTCGACTTTGAGCGGGAGTAAGCCGACGACTGGTTAACGATGAAAGCGAGGGGTCCATAACAATACAAATTTGATCAAAAAAATAAGAGTCTCAAAGTTGTTGAGTTATATAATTTTATAGAGCGATGGACTAAAAACTGTTAACGATTCTGAAGTCAACCTCGATAACAAGATAACTTCTAAGATTGCAAACAAGTAAATCCTCTGTGTAAACAAACCCGGGGGTTCATGACTTTAACTTATAGCTGATCGGCCAATCAGCGAAGCTATTATACCTTAATTAACCGCGCCACTTTCAAATACGGTTTTCGTGTAACTTTCTCAAGCTTGACCCGACTAACACCTACTATATTTATCTAATTTATTGCTTCGTATTTATGTGTTGAAAATAATTGTTCTCCTAGCGAATTTTTCAGGAGCGATTTCCAAAACCTCGTGACATGAATTTCAAAGTAAAATGATTGTGTGATGTTATGTAGTGCAGCAATAAATGTAACCATGTTTATTGTTAGAACTTTTTATCATATGTTTCTGTAAAATTTGTTGGACGAATGTTCAGGTGAGTATAACACAAAATGACAATGGTAAGTAGTCATGTTACGTAGTTCGTGCTACATTTACAAATTTTCTAATCCGCGTAACGGTAACGTTTTTTTTTTTTAAAGAAAAAAATACGTATTTATAGTTAAACAAATAAATATATGTACGTACCAATTTTTTTTATTAAATTTTTTATATTCCTACGTACGTACGTATAAGTTAATGTATCTTAATATAGTTAAATTCATAACTAACTAATTTTGGTACTGTGCAAAAATATTGGTGCGTACTATACGTACGTACTTACCTCAATTTAATTAATTTTTTGAAGTATTACCGTTACAATATTAAATTGCAAAATTGGTATATTTTTAAGGCTATCATTGTTTAAAAAAAGCGCCAATTTCTTCGTTTTTATTCGTAGTGTAACATATTTTAACCAATAAAAATTATAATATTAACAGAAATACTGTATTATTATTTTTTGCAGAACTATATACTGTATATATATATATATATATAGCAGATAGTATGTTTTTTTTTTTAATAAAAATTTTTTTATACAGTATAAACTTATTTTTTTTATTTGTACAGTATTTTAGACAAAATTATTAATAATATAAAATATTATATATAATACAGTATACTATATATATACAATATATAATATATAGTATATTACTATATTTTTTACAATACTGTATATATATAGTATATACAGTATAATATACTGTATTGTATATAAAATATATTTTACAGTATAACTTTATTATAAAATTTTTAAATTTATTATTTTTTAATTTTAATAAACAAATTTATTTTTTTTAAGAATATTACTAATTATAACTAGTAGTAATTATTACTAGGGTACTTATATCTTAAAAATATACTAAGTAAACAGGATCGGGTATTCTAAGTAAAAATGTTCAAAACTCCCAAAAACTTTATAAAAACTAAAATTGGGATCTTATATTAGCTTTAAATTATACAATATTATATAAAAAAAAATAATTTTTAATATCTATATTTATATATACTAGCAAAACCTGGACAAATTTCAAATTCAAAAAAATATTTGTTATTTATAAAAGATTAAGTCAAACAAGTAATCTTGATATTTTGCAAATATATTATTTATAACTATAAGAATATATACTATTTGTTTAAACAAAGATAATCTTAACCACTTTAATAAGTTTAGATCGCAAATAACTAATTTAGCTATAGCTAAGTTTTTAGTTTAAGCTCTCATTCTTGCATATAGTTTATATAACCTTTATTATTATATAAACTAAGTTGTTACTATATAATTACTTGTATAAACTACCTAATAAAAATATGTGCAAGGCCTTACCTTAATATCAAAAAAAAAATTAGTTTTTGAGAAATTAATTTAGAATAAATTTAAGATTTGGGTATAAACAAATTTAAACTATAGTAATTTAGAATTTAGATAACAAGTATACCTATACTTTAATTCTAAAAATAATTAAAGATAGTAATAATCATTACTAGTTATTTTAAATATATATATTTTTTTAAATTTTAAATTTTATAATAAAATTTTAAATATACTATATATTAGTTATATAGTATATTATAGTATACTATATATTATATATAATATATATATTTTTTAAATAAAAAATTTTTATTTTTTTGGCGCAATAAATCCAGAAAACTGTAATTACTGAAAACCCGTTTAGCAAGTTCTGAGTAAAGAGGTAGTATGATCTTTAACGGTACTACAGAAAGACTAAATTTGGAATTAAAGACTGAAACTAAAGAACCAAATGACCAGGTTCTTAAGTGAGAAGACATACTAGCTGAACTGCTAAGTCACCAACCAGAAGAAAAGAACATATGCTCTAGAAGCATATACCAAGGAAAGAAAGACTATAAAGCACCTAAAGCCTAGACAGACTGACCCTTTCGAGTTGCTGGTTAGAAGTAAGAGAAAGACTAATAAAAAATCCAAGAAAGAAGAAAAGTCCGAATGTGTGTACTAGGGTTATGTAAACCTTAAAAGGCAAAAAGTACATAATAGGCAACTAATTAGGAAGGTTGTAACTTGAGTAGCTATGGAATAGCAGCATTCTAAAAAATGGTATGAGATATAAATACAGTGTAGCAGCATAGCAAGTACTAGTTAGAAAGAAGTTACCGAATATGCAGATGAATACATATATATATAAAATATAGACTATTTTGTTAGGTTTACCTTATGGATAAATTAGCTATAATAGTTAGTAAGTCCTAAGGTAAGTGCAAAATCTAATTGGGTAGATGCAAAAATCACATTTGTATAGTGAGTAATACCTAGAGTTAGGTGTAACAGATGGTAGCTATAATCAGAGAGTTTAAATAGATACCTTTGTAGTTAGGATACAAGTATGGCAGATAGTGTAGAACCTTTGAGCAGACTACTTAAATTAGGTATTAAAAGTGCATATATGGCTTGATATACAGTCAACTCTGTATATAATGAACCTTTTTTATAACGAACTCTGGATATAACAAACTTAAAATTTTTAAATTTTAATATTAATTCGGTATAACAAGAGCTACGGCTTTTAAGAAAACATAGTAATACTGTATAACGAACTTTTTTTTTTGGCCAGAACCAAGGGTTCAGTATAGAAAGAGTTGACTGTACTCTCATTGTAATTATATAAACATATGTTGCATTTAATAAAAAGTCTTTTGGCCAAAAAGGTTACCTTAATACCAAAAAAAAAAAAATTTTATTATTTTAAACTATAGATAAGAACAAAATTATTTTAGACTTTAAAACCTGAAATTAAAATTTAAAGACAAAATTGTTTTGATTTATTTTTACTTAAAAGACAAAATTTTTTAATATTTTTTTTGAATAGATAAAATTATAAAAAAATATAATTATATAAATTAGATTTGCTCTTTCTTATAAAAAAATTTAATTTGCTTTAATAAAAATAAAATAAACTATTTTTGAAAACTTATTTTCATAATATATATATTTTAAACAGATATACTATAATATATATAAATACTATCAAAAAAGATTTATTATTAGACTTTTAATTATTATTATTATTTTTTTTTTTAACTCTTTAATAGTCTTGTCATTACTTTTATTAAAAAAATAATTATTACATATACAGAACACATGTGATATATCTAAACTATAATATTTAAATGTGGTATTATCTGGTTGCTTCTCAAATACCTAGATATAATCTGTTGTACTATACTACTGCATAGAATAGAAGATGTTGTTAGCTCTATCTAAAAGCCAAAACTTAATTTTTTTCCATCTAGATTTTGGCAGAAAGGCTTTGGCAAGCCTGTTTCTCTATTTGATAAAACTAAAAAAATAAAAATAAAACAATATTATAAGAAAGAGAAAATAAGAGAAATAATCAAAAGAAAGAGTAACTATAAAGTAGAAAAAAAAACAAAAACCTAAACATAAGACTTTAAAATAACTATAGCAGAAAAAGATAAAAAAAAACAAATAAAACTTAAACAAGACTAAACAATATAACAAAAGAAAAATAAAAGAAAGTATACTATTATAACTTGTACAAGACTTAAAAAATTATATAACAAATACAATATTTGTATATCTCTACTATAAGAATTTGTCTTAATATATTAGTTTTTTTCTGACTATACAAACAAATTCAGATAAATTTTTAACTAAAAACTAGTCAAAGAGCCTTGTTATATAGAGTAGTAATGTGTTTATTACTAAATAAAACATAGTTGCAATCTACCAAATCAACTGAATTTGAAAGAAGTAAACAATACTGATCTTTTAACAGGAATAAGCTGTTTTGTTTACTTTTTTTAAAAAATTTTGTTGTAAAAATAAGTAGATAATAGTAAAGAGTATAAATCTTATATTTTTTTTAAAAGAAAATATATATTTTTTTCAAAAATAATAAAACAAGTAAATTTAAGCACACTGCTAATATTTTTTTTAATAAGTAATAAACTCTGAACTTGTTAGCAAGTAGTATATAAGAACTACTTCTAAATAACAAATACTACAGGTTACCCCTGATAATATCAACTTACGTTAATATCAACCTAAGCCACAAATCAAGTTTTTACAAACTTTTATATATCAAAATTCCCTCGTATATATCAACTTTAATATGAATTTTCGTTAATATCACTATCAACATAATTTTAAACAGGTTTAAATGGGTTGATATTAACAAGGGTAACCTGTATCTTTATAGTAAGTAATAAGCTCTAAACCTATTAGCAGATAGTATATAAAAACTATCTTCAAATAATAGATACTGGTTTATAGTTCTTGTTAGTCCTATGTTCTTCTTTTTTAATATAGTTTTATGGTTTTTGTTAAAATTTTTTGTTTTGATAAGTTGGTTTGAGAAATCATTAGAAAAAGTTGTTTTTACTAAATATATAGATTTTTAATTATATTTTGTATATAGTTAGCTATTTATAAAATTTATTAGTATATACTATATACAGTATATATATAATATAATAAATTTTTTATAA